GGTTCAATTCCAGCTGCAGCCTCCCTGTGTGTAGTTTGCATGTTCTCCTCGGGCCTGCGTGGGTTTCCTCCCACATTCCAAAAACATGCACGACAGGCTGACTGAACACTCCAAATTGTGAGTGTGAGCGCGGATGGTTGTTCATCTCTGTGTGCCCTGCGATTGGCTGGCAAGCGGTTCAGGGTGTCCCCCGCCTGCTGCCCGAAGACGGATGGGATAGGCTCCAGCACCCCCCGCGACCTTTGTGAGGATAAGCGGATCGGAAAATGAATGAATGTAAAGTCCACCCTGCTTCTCCTGCCCCCATCACGCACCACATGACAACCCTCCTCGCTCCACCGTCTTCTACACATGCACGCACTCGCGGCAGACAATGGGCCGCTCTAAAGCGGCGACGCCAGCAATCTATGCGCAGGGAAGATGCATTTTTGGGTGGAGCCATAGCTTGCTATCGCGTTGGATAATCGTAAACGTTTCTTGAACCCTGAGGATATCTGATTTGCGTTGTTCTGCCTTGGCGCAAAGCCAAATTGTTCCGCATGACAGATGCAGTGGAAATCCAGCCTTAGACCGGACAACCTTCCCTCTTGAGTTTGATCTTCTTCGTTTGCATCAATTCCCACATTCGACACAAAACGATGCGGAAAAATGACGTCAACAGTTTCAAGCTTAATGTCTCTGATACCGTCCGAAAAATGATTTGCAATAAATGATTCTTTTGTATCGTTACAACATGGAGGCCAACAAAAAACCAACAAATAAGCATCATGAAATGACTTCTCATTACACCTTAGCATTGGGACCATTAAAAACTCTACGATTAGGAACTATCATCACAGAAGCATTAATTATAAAGTTGCTTTGTGTCATATCATTACAACATTATAGATTTAAGACGTCCCTCCCGAAAACAGGATATATTTTTTTCCCATTTTATTATATATTTCTATAACATCATGTGCTCTTTATGTTTGGTTGGAGTCAAGGGGCACTTTGTAAGGTGCCACCAGCCCCCAACGTTTTGAAAAGCCCTACCTCACGCACTACGACTCACACAGGGTCACTGTCATAATGCTTGGAAATTATTGCAAATTTATTGACCTTTTCATAATGTTTGTAAGCGTAGGCGCCAGCGTACTTGCGGGTGGCAGAGATCGCTGCCCTGAACTGAAAACGTCACATCTCGTTGACAAATGTTGTTGCCTTGTTTGCAAAAAAAAAAAATACAATTTCCAGCCTTTCATTCAAAAACAGATTGACAGTGGAGCAAACACACAAACACAAACGATTCAGTTACTGGTTCGGTCCAGAACATGTTGGAAAACAGGCAAAAATGTTGATGTTCTTGATTGTTTTGCCAATGTCTTAATTTAATCAAACAAAGAAAAGGATTTGTCTGCTTTCATGTACTTGCGAGAAGCCAGAGTTGCAACCTGAACACAGAAAACAGTTCCGATGAGTTCAAGGGTTCATTCATCGCCATGAAACTGCATCGCATCAGATTTTAAGAGGTCGACTTCACCGCGTCGACATTTTCCATCTGCTGCAATGTGACTCTGGCTTGTTTTTATGCTAATCAGACAGAATCATTAGCGCCACTGCCAGCAAGGTTTTCACGTTCCACATAAGATGAGATGCAACAAAAGTGCTGTCAGCCTTGACGGCCTCATTTTTCTTTTTTTAATCATTGATTGCTTCTCAGCGGGGATGACATGCAAAAACTATGCCAGTCCGGGATTAACCGCCTCAAAGCTGACATCCATGCGCAGGCGCTGGGCCACTTTACAAACAGCATTTCCCATTCGGAGCGAGTCAGAATAAGACAGTTGAACCCACCAAACAAAGCCACAGCGTATCTTCAATGTAGGTCGCTCGCTCGTTCATTCATACATTCATTGACATTTTGGGAAATGTAAATTGATTAGGACGGATGATAGAAGATTTTGTGAAACAGGAGCTAGGCCTAAGACTCGTGTAGTTTTTTCTTCCCTGACATCTATTGCAACGATTTAGTCACCCAACAAAGGACAGTACTGGACTCCGGAGCATCTAAGGTGACATGGAAGAAAAAGAAAAAAAAAACATTGTGCTCCCTCGCAAAGATTGTGAAATAACGCATTTTTTTTTTCAAGGGAACGCTTTGGTGGACTAATGTGGACTAATAATGCAAACGGAATTTTAGCAGTCGGAAAATTATTTCCCAGCTAATGCTACGATACACCAACATGACCTTTTTTTCAGCGTCGTGCTTCCTTCTGGTCACTTTCACATGGTGGAAGTTGACCCAGCCTAGCTGACAAATCATTGGTGGAGAAATTTGGTTTCGCCCTTTTGATCAACACAGCGGTTTCTAAAGGGGTTTGTGGGCTAACCTCTCGGGTGATGTGAAATAAATTACGGCCTCAGTACAGTTTATTTGGATTGAAGTTTTTAGTACAACACTGAAACGATTTTGAATTGACTCAATTTCATTTTGTCAAGTGGTTGCACAAAATACAATCATTTCATTTACATCCATTTTTTAAGTATCGGTAGATATGTCGGCGGCCCGGTGGGCCAGTGGTTAGCGCGTCGACCTCACAGTGCAGAATATGGCGGCGGCCCGGTGGGCCAGTGGTTAGCGCGTCGACCTCACAGTGCAGAGGTCGTGGGTTCAATCCCGGCTCCAGCCCTCCTGTGTGGAATTTGCATGTTCTCCCTGCGTGGGTTTTCTCTGGGGGTTACGGTTTCCTCCCACTTTCCAAAAACATACATGGCAGGCTTATTCATTTACGTCCCACTTTCAATTGATCGCGCACTATGCAGAATATTTCTAATATCTCAGTTTACCAACAGGTAAAATCCGCAAATAATCGAAGGTCGTTATAATTGCATTGGGAAAAACTACGAAGAAGCATTGACATACTGTGCAATTAACTAGAGATGCATCTAACAATTATCTTGATAACTATTAATCTCTTGATTATTTTGTTGATTACTCGATGAATCGGATACAAAAAAAAAAAATACAATTTCCAGCCTTTCATTCAAAAACAGATTGACAGTGGAGCAAACGCACAAACACAAACGATTCAGTTACTGGTTCGGTCCAGAACATGTTGGAAAACAGGCAAAAATGTTGATGTTCTTGATTGTTTTGCCAATGTCTTAATTTAATCAAACAAAGAAAAGGATTTGTCTGCTTTCATGTACTTGCGAGAAGCCAGAGTTGCAACCTGAACACAGAAAACAGTTCCGATGAGTTCAAGGGTTCATTCATCGCCATGAAACTGCATCGCATCAGATTTTAAGAGGTCGACTTCACCGCGTCGACATTTTCCATCTGCTGCAATGTGACTCTGGCTTGTTTTTATGCTAATCAGACAGAATCATTAGCGCCACTGCCAGCAAGGTTTTCACGTTCCACATAAGATGAGATGCAACAAAAGTGCTGTCAGCCTTGACGGCCTCATTTTTCTTTTTTTAATCATTGATTGCTTCTCAGCGGGGATGACATGCAAAAACTATGCCAGTCCGGGATTAACCGCCTCAAAGCTGACATCCATGCGCAGGCGCTGGGCCACTTTACAAACAGCATTTCCCATTCGGAGCGAGTCAGAATAAGACAGTTGAACCCACCAAACAAAGCCACAGCGTATCTTCAATGTAGGTCGCTCGCTCGTTCATTCATACATTCATTGACATTTTGGGAAATGTAAATTGATTAGGACGGATGATAGAAGATTTTGTGAAACAGGAGCTAGGCCTAAGACTCGTGTAGTTTTTTCTTCCCTGACATCTATTGCAACGATTTAGTCACCCAACAAAGGACAGTACTGGACTCCGGAGCACCTAAGGTGACATGGAAGAAAAAGAAAAAAAAACATTGTGCTCCCTCGCAAAGATTGTGAAATAACGCATTTTTTTTTTCAAGGGAACGCTTTGGTGGACTAATGTGGACTAATAATGCAAACGGAATTTTAGCAGTCGGAAAATTATTTCCCAGCTAATGCTACGATACACCAACATGACCTTTTTTTCAGCGTCGTGCTTCCTTCTGGTCACTTTCACATGGTGGAAGTTGACCCAGCCTAGCTGACAAATCATTGGTGGAGAAATTTGGTTTCGCCCGTTTGATCAACACAGCGGTTTCTAAAGGGGTTTGTGGGCTAACCTCTCGGGTGATGTGAAAGAAATTACGGCCTCAGTACAGTTTATTTGGATTGAAGTTTTTAGTACAACACTGAAACGATTTTGAATTGACTCAATTTCATTTTGTCAAGTGGTTGCACAAAATACAATCATTTCATTTACATCCATTTTTTAAGTATCGGTAGATATGTCGGCGGCCCGGTGGGCCAGTGGTTAGCGCGTCGACCTCACAGTGCAGAGGTCGTGGGTTCAATCCCGGCTCCAGCCCTCCTGTGTGGAATTTGCATGTTCTCCCTGCGTGGGTTTTCTCTGGGGGTTACGGTTTCCTCCCACTTTCCAAAAACATACATGGCAGGCTGATTGAACACTCGAAATTGTCCCGCGGTGTGAGTGTGGGCGTGGATGGTTGTTTGTCTGTGTGTGCCCTGCGATTGGCTGGCAAGCGGTTCAGGGTGTCCCCCGCCTGCTGCCCGAAGACGGATGGGATAGGCTCCAGCACCCCCCGCGACCTTTGTGAGGATAAGCGGATCGGAAAATGAATGAATGTAAAGTCCACCCTGCTTCTCCTGCCCCCATCACGCACCACATGACAACCCTCCTCGCTCCACCGTCTTCTACACATGCACGCACTCGCGGCAGACAATGGGCCGCTCTAAAGCGGCGACGCCAGCAATCTATGCGCAGGGAAGATGCATTTTTGGGTGGAGCCATAGCTTGCTATCGCGTTGGATAATCGTAAACGTTTCTTGAACCCTGAGGATATCTGATTTGCGTTGTTCTGCCTTGGCGCAAAGCCAAATTGTTCCGCATGACAGATGCAGTGGAAATCCAGCCTTAGACCGGACAACCTTCCCTCTTGAGTTTGATCTTCTTCGTTTGCATCAATTCCCACATTCGACACAAAACGATGCGGAAAAATGACGTCAACAGTTTCAAGCTTAATGTCTCTGATACCGTCCGAAAAATGATTTGCAATAAATGATTCTTTTGTATCGTTACAACATGGAGGCCAACAAAAAACCAACAAATAAGCATCATGAAATGACTTCTCATTACACCTTAGCATTGGGACCATTAAAAACTCTACGATTAGGAACTATCATCACAGAAGCATTAATTATAAAGTTGCTTTGTGTCATATCATTACAACATTATAGATTTAAGACGTCCCTCCCGAAAACAGGATATATTTTTTTCCCATTTTATTATATATTTCTATAACATCATGTGCTCTTTATGTTTGGTTGGAGTCAAGGGGCACTTTGTAAGGTGCCACCAGCCCCCAACGTTTTGAAAAGCCCTACCTCACGCACTACGACTCACACAGGGTCACTGTCATAATGCTTGGAAATTATTGCAAATTTATTGACCTTTTCATAATGTTTGTAAGCGTAGGCGCCAGCGTACTTGCGGGTGGCAGAGATCGCTGCCCTGAACTGAAAACGTCACATCTCGTTGACAAATGTTGTTGCCTTGTTTGCAATGACAAAGATCATTCAGATTCTGACAAAAAAAAAACATGTCACGCTACCAGATAAACCCCAAAAAGGTTTCGATATTTTCAATGTCCTTAAAAAAAAAAAAAAAAATCACAAATAAAAATAAATAATCCAGCGGAAACCGAGTAGTTCATGTCGGAAATTGTTGTTTGGAGAAGATCCTTACGGGCAGGACTGCTTGATGACATAAGAGCCACGTCGAAAGGCATCGACGAGGAATCGAAACTTGTCACTGGGTTGGTGGACTGCAATTTTTCCCAGGTAATCGATCAAATGTTTGATTGGATGGCCTTGCTTCACGTGACCAAAATAATCATGGCTAGCTCGCTAGCTAACGTCAGCTCGACAGAGTGATCCATTTCCCTTGTCAAAAGAGCGCGTCTGTGCCAGTAATCCGAGCAACAGAAGTCAGTTGATTAGCCAGTTCTTAAAGGATCACGTTAACCACAGTCTCTCTGAGTTTCCACGTTGATTTTTTTAAATCAACTTTCCAGTGTCATGACCGAAAGAATGAGATCCCGGAGACAAGTGATCGAAATGAGGTTCCTACGCAGGGTGTCCGGGCCCTCCCTTAGAGATAAGGTGAGAAGCTCACTCATCAGGGGAGAGGAGGAGGGAGGGGGGTGGGGGGGGTCACTATTCCTCCATGTTGAGAGGAGCCAGATGAGGTGGCTCGGGCATCTGATTAGGTGGTGAGGTGTGCCGGGCACTTCCCAACAGCAGGAGGCCGAGAGATGCTCCCGGCTGGCCTGGAAACGCCTTGGGATCCCTCCGGAAGAGTTGGAAGATGTGGCTGAGGAGAGGCAAGCGTGGGCTCCCCTGCTAAAGCCGTTGCCCCCGCGACCCAACTGCGGATAAGCGGTAGAAAATGGATGAATGGCTTCCCATTGAAATGTGAAGTTCTTCCACCATTGGGTCGACCTTTTAGGCCGTTTATCTCATGACTGACATCACACACATTTAAACTACAGTGATAAAAATGTTATTAAAAAAACGAAGAAGGCTAAAATCATGATTCAAGTCACTGACCGTTTCCTCAATCACTCTGCCCTTGGTCAAATGACGCGTTTGTTGACAAGCGGCGCCACTGAAGATCGTTTTGAGCTTTTGTCAAGCACAGGTGCGACCGACATCACGGTCAAAAGATCCATGTCAGCACGCTCCTCCTGAGTAAAAGGCCAATCCTGCTGCTGCGGTTGGGAAGGACCCTCTCTGTCGCCTCCCGCAAACCCCTACGTGGAGGCAACACCTCTCATCGGCTCACGTTGGGAAGCAGGGTTCTTGTGCTTTCAACATGAATTCATTGCATTCCTTGTGCTAAACGGCATTCTGCGCCAATAAAGGTGGCTGTTCTTTCACTTGCAGGGCTTCGCTGCTCTGGTTCTGAGGCTGCGGGCCGTCGGCCATCCGGCCGTCGTCCTGCGGGGGCTTCGGCGGTAACACCCGACCCGGTTCGGGATTGACGCTTTGCCACTTCCTGTCACTGGGCTGCATCTCCAGAGCCGGAGTGTCCTTGCAGCAGAAATACTGCCGCCAGATCTTGTGGAAGGCCGTGCGGAATTTCTTGATGCGGAAGGCGTAGACGATGGGGTTGACGGCCGAATTGCCGTGAGTGAGCAGGATGGCGATGTAGAGGAGGACCATGGGCCGTCCGGCCGCAGACGTCCGAGATTGTTCCAGCCCAGCATGGGGGTGAGGCCCACCACGAAAGCCACCGCCCAGCACACCACCACGGCCGCACCCGCTCGCCGGGGCGTCACCACCCGCTTGTACCTGCGGGGGCCGACAGAGAAGAAGCTTAGCGCTGAGATCGCGCGCGGGAGAGTGCGGGTGTTGAAGACATTTAGCGCTAAAAGCATGGGTGTTGTAAACTTGGTCAAAGCGTAGACCATTACATTTAATGGAAGTATGCGAAAATTCCGTTACATACATTAAATCTGATGAAAGAGGTGAGGTGAATAGAATATTCAATATGATGAGACTTAATTATGGTACATTAGAGATGTACAGAACATAAGATATTAGGGCCCAACTTATTAATTGGCTGGTTTAGCATGGGTGTTGTAAACTTGGTCAAAGCGTAGACCGTTACATTTCTTGTAAGTACGCGAAAATTCCGTTGCATACATTAAATCTGATGAAAGAGATGAGGTGAATATTCAATATGATGTGACTTAATTATGCTACATTAGAGATGTACAGAACAGAACATATTCAGGCCCGACTTATTAATTGGCTGATTGGTTTAATCATCTTATATTTGCTATTTTGAAATCGTCAAAAATAGCAAAAATCTGCAGATTTTTTTTAACAGACATTTCCAGTGGGAGGCGGGTCTGGACTGCAGGCAGGCCGGTCTAGCACCCGCACTCTTTTACTACGAAGCCACACCGTTGTAACACAAAACAAAAAAACAGTCAAACTAACAATCAAGTCTCATGCTGAGTGAAAAGCCAAAGAATAAAAATGAGTTTTAAGGAGAGTTTTAAAGATGGGCACGTTCAGCGTAGTTCAGAGTTCAGAGTGGTGTGAGGCACATGGCAAAATAACACCCATTCAAGGAAATGGTAAAAACTACAAAAAAAAAAAAAGAAGAAAATCAATCCAAAATAGTGTTTAGCGAAAGCGCTATATGAAGAAAGATGTTATGTGTTGAATTTCATTGCATTGTTTGGCCACTTCTAATAAATAAGACCTCAAGAGTTTCATTCTCCTGCTGCATTTTTGCGACGACTGAGTGACGATATTCCCAAAGGCTCTTCCACATATTGATATTGACCCAGATATTGTTTCATGTGCTCCGAGAATGCAAGCGCCGTGATATATGATATGTTTCCCGGTATATGAACATGAAAGAGGCAGACAAAAAAAAATAGTCGGATAAAGGCATTGAATGGGAAGCGTCTGTCGACACCGACAGCTGACAATCCAGCCTTCTGACATTTGCGCACAACTCGCCTGAAGCGAAAGGAAATGTTGCAATTAGGCTCAGCTTTCATGCGTTGGATTCGTATCGATCACGGATGTTATGTGTTGGGAACGGCCACGTCTCTAAGTGGAGCAAAAAGGCGAGTTATTCACACGTTTAGACTTTTATGAATGGTTAATTCATTTAACAAATAATGGTTAATTCATTTTGATGGGACTACAAATAATATCATAAAAATAGAATGACTTATTTTGTTGTGGAGATATAAACATTGATATATTTTACGTGCACGTTTCTGTCACCAAATTGTGATGGAAAACAACTTTGGCCCGCTGGAACGCCCAACAATGTCTGCCAAATTCCGAGATACGCTAAACTAGTCTTTCCTCGGAAAGTGTGAAGGTGCGCCGGTTTTTAAGAGAAGCACAGGTGTGCGCGCATTCCAAAGAAAACAGGACCCTTGGAGTCACCGCCTTCAAAAGCCAATTACCGAGTCTGAAAATTTAGGTGGCCACTTGATTCCGATCTGTTTTCCAGCAATCATATCAAATCGCCCACGACAACGGCCTTCCACCAACTCCAAAACATCATCCCGAGTGAACGGTGGCATACCAGGAGAAACGTATCCATGCTTTCATGTCCAGCAGACTTGAGTCTTACAACGGTCTTCTTACTAGACTCCCTCAAAAGAGCACCACGCAACTCCTTCAGAACGCTGCAGCTTTGATTCGGACCAGAGCAAATTGGAACATATTAGTCCAGTCAAGAAGGCTTTGACACTGGCGGCCGGTCAGCTGTAGAAAAGATTCTGCTGCTGCTCTGTGACTCACGAAAGAAATACTAATGGAAATAGAAATCTCGTAGGTTAGAGATTAGACAATTAGTGAAGCCCAGAGTTCAAAGCAAACATGGTAAAGCAGCATTTCGATGTTATGCTGCATGCAAATGGAATACGCGGCCAATAGAAGTGAAGTCAGCCCCAAGTGTAAATGATTTTAAATCCGGGCTAAAAATTTATGCTTTACCCCCCAAAAGATCTTTTTTTTTTCAAGCATTTATATGATCTTTTCTTTTTTCCAAAATCTTGTCCTTCCACTGTATGTTCCTTTAGTAAGCTACATATTTACTTTGCATTGAAATGTCTTCAATTCTTTTTTTTTTTTTGTAAATGCTTTTAAATGTGTATTTTTCATTATGGGAACCACAATTAAATTGTGATACGGTCTGTCAACATGTGTTGCACCAACGTTTGTGTTCAAAGACTACAAAGGCTGCCGGTGCTAGTTTTGTTAGCCCATCAATGGCGTTTTTCATTACGTGTTAGCACTAAGCTAGCGGGGGGCGTTCCCAAGGCAAAGTTGATCGGTTGTTTTAAAGTTGTTGATCCGAATGACTGAAATGATTCATTCAACATTTCCAACTCGACGATGGCCCGGTCTGGCACACCAAAGTTTGCCCTGCCTCTCCGATTTAACCCGTGTATTATTTTCTCACTACTGTACGCCGGTTTGCTCCACGGTGAGGTGAATGTAGCACATTGAGCGATCAGGGACAATCCCGATCACGAGGTTACCTGGTGGGGATCTTGACTCTCAGGTCTTCGGAATTCATTGTACTTGATGGAAATAGAGGCTGGAGGTACACATCGACCCATGTGGAAACCGTGGCAGTTCGATATCGGTCAATAGCGATGGCCAGCAGCGCCAGGATGGAACTTTGCGTGAGAACCAGAACCGTGCAGGCGACCAGCAGGCAGCTGTAGAAGTGCGTCTGCAGTCCGATGCTGATGGTGATGGCCAGCGGGATGACCAGCGCCCCCACCGCGATGTCGGCCAACGCCAGCGACACGATGAAACAAAAGGTGGTGTCCCGCAGGGATTTGTTGATCCTCACCGCCCACACCACCATCACGTTGCCGGCCACCGACGCCACCGCGATCGCCACCTCCATGCCGATGTAGAGGGACCGGGAAGACAGCAGTGCTCCGGGCATCCTTGAAGAGGACCAAGCCGGGGGTGGGGAGGAAACAAGCCAAGAAAGAAGGAAAAAAAAAACTCTTGAGTTCGACACAGACGTTTTGGTGTCGTTGTTGTTGTTTTTTTCTTCTTTTTTTTTTGCTCAATGTGTCCGTGTGCAGGTGCGGAGGTTCGTGCGTCCCCGGCGCCGATGCGCGCCGCCTCCACTCGGCTGCATCTCCTGCAGGAGCGGGAAAGAGGAGGAGAGGAGCATCCTGCTCTCCGTGCATGCGCGCGCGGGGCAAGAGGATGGATGGAGGTTGGTGGGTGGGGGCTG